TACATAGATATTATTATCATTATTATTATTATTATTACATAGATATTATTATTATTATTATTATTATTATTATTATTATTATTATTGTTATTGAAAAAGCATGACAGTTTCCAACAAGCCAAACAGGAGAAATCCTCAACATCAAATGGCAGGAGCGACGCAACTCAATCTTTCTGAAATGCCGAGTACTGAAACCGCCATCCTCAAGCATCGCCTCATGTTGAACATCTACTACGCCCGCAGACGAACAAGGACGCACAATGCATTGGTGATATGCGCTTCTGCTTGAGGTCGTACAATCTGAGGTAACCTAGATATTTAATATAAACCATTTTAATTCACCAAGAAAAAACAAGCACATATAACGTATTCAAACATTTAAGATTGGAAGCTCTGAGAGATATGACTGATGTTAGTCAGACGTTTCGTTCTCAACAAGAACCTCTTTAGACTATTAACAATTTTATTATTGGAATCAGTATTTTTTTATGTAACAAGGAATAAAAAGGGAATATGACAAACTCTGATTAGAATTTAAAGGCTGGGCGACTCTGTATCATAAATATTTGAACATAAACTGTAACCAGCAGTTGTTGTACCTCTCCCTGCCATTACTCGACTCTTATGCATTTGAAGATGATCCTTCCCGTAATGAAATACGTTATGAATATTTTTTTTTATCTCACTCTTTTAATTATTCGTTACATAAGTAATTAGGTATACAGAAACAATGGTTACTTTCTTATACGTAAATAAATATTTAGCAAAAGCTTTCATCAAGACATAAGCCTTTGGGTTATGTATATTTTCATACTCAAAAATGAAGAATTAATTTTCCTCAAGGCGTCTTGATTATATTCTCTTTCTTGTTGTTTCGATATTTTTTCTATTCTTTCTTCAGTATAGATGGTTTTAGTTAAGCTTCTGGAAATAGCGCCAAGACGAATTTTCGTAGTGTGACAATTTAATTCTAGTGATGTTTCAGTGAAAATAGTTTGTTAAACTGTCCACTGTTAACTGCTATCGTATTCAACATGCTCTCCTTAATAGAGCTGTTCTGGGTATGACGATAAACTACATCCGTATCCAGGGTAAGACGATAAACTACGTCCAACAGCAAGGCCTCTGATCAGGAGGTTTTGAGGAGCGTGGAACCACCGCTTAATTGCTGGTATTCCCAGGTCTACACTGACCCGGAGTAGTAGCACTTGTTAGGGTCCCAGATATGCGCAAATAGTTAAGAAACTGAGATAAAAAGTCTTATGAAAATGTATAATAGGTTTTAATATCAGAAATACTTTGTAAAAAGTTATTACAAGAAATAAATTTTTGAAGAAAAAAAAAACTATTACCAGCAAAATATTTTCGAAAAAAAAAATATTACCAGCAATACCTTTTTAAAAAAAAAATTATCAGCATTTTTAAAAATAATATTACCAGCTATATATTTTTGAGGAAAAATATTACCAGCTATATATTTTTGAGGAAAAATATTACCAGGAATAGATTATAACCAAATATTACCAGGGGAAAAAAAGTGTTTTCGGCATTAAATAACCCATTGAGGTTGATATGCTGTAAACCAAACCAAAACAAACCTTGATGGAATCATTACTGGAAAGATTCTAGCAACTCGCTTTTTGGCAACTCGCTTTTTGGCAACTCGCTTTTTCATCAATGTAGACATATATGTAATCCAAAAGACAAAGATATTCTTGATTGAATGTCAAGACTTTCTTTGTCCTTTCGGACTATTTTTCATATGGTATTCGCCTAAAATCTTAACGGAGGCTTTGTCTGACAAATTAGCGTATAACTATTTTATAATAACTGTCATTGCGAACTCTTTATCTTTCATAATGTCTGCGTAACTATATCGTTTTTCATATCGAGTTTTTTTTTTTTTTTTTTTCCGTGCTGGCACAAATAAACTTAATCCGCATCAAGGTAAAACAATATTTTCACACTGCCGACATTTGCCTCTGTTCAATGTGTTTGGTGTTAGTCACTTCTTGCGACATCGTGCACAACTTGTCACCCTTCTTTGAACCACCTTTACCTTAAAAATATGGTATTCCTTATGTGATGTGGCTTCTGTTATTTAGTAGTGTTCTTTTCTGGTCCTGCATCGTTAGTTCACATCGTTCAAAGAAGGATGATATTTGCCAGACCCACAGGCTTCACTTCGCTCATCGCCTTTTTTCAGTATTGATCTAGAAATTGATTGTATACAGTTGACAGTTTAGATATTTCTAAACGGATTTCGCTCCATACATGACGACCAGATGAAAGTCTTGATCCGACGAGGCTATTTAAGAACATGTCTCGAGTTTTCAAGTTAACGTTTTGGTGTAGGGTGAAGCTACCTCTGGTGTTGCCTAGTTTATGTTCAGTTTCATTTTCTCCATTACTAAATTTGTTCAAAGTGATTCATATACCTAATTATCTGAAGTGTTTAGTATTTATTAATTCCACATCCTAACTTTTTATGAGGGATGGTAGTCATCATATATCTGAAACTAAAAATAAATATCAATATATATACTGTTAGATATATATTTATTTACAATAAGTTGAACAACCTTCGTTGTAGGTTATGGTAAATATTTCTAATGTAGACAGACATGATATGATTAAATTTACATGGCATAATTATCACATATCGTGCAAAATCGATTGGTTAAAATCAATTGTCTTTCAAAAACTTTGAGTTATATTATAAAATTTTGTGTACTTATTGCATCTTGTATTTTTCAGTGAAATCGAAGTTCACTCGCGCACCTGTAAACATGTTATCTTCATTATATCTTTTATAAAGTTTTTACCATTCGATCTCATATGGTTTGCTAAATGTTTCTTCTCAATGTAAAAAATATCTGGTAAATTATGGAATATATTGATAATGGAATAAAAAATTGTTTCTTTTCCTGTTGAATCCCCAAGAGACGAAACGCCATCTTGAAATTGTTATCGCTTCCGTTTCTCTGGTTCTTTTCGCCTTGTGATTTTGACTCAACTTACAAAATTCTTGGAAAATGAATCTTCAAAATGCAATAGGAATTCCCTAAGTCAAAATTAATATTTAAAGAAACTATAAATATAATAATCGTATAAAAATCCATTTTATCAGAATAGACTTGTATTAATTGAAAATCCTTTATTTTAGACAATGGCCATGAGCAAAATTCTGTTTTTGACGCATTTGTATCTTTCCTCTAGCTGAAGGGTGATACATTTAAAAAAGATCAAGTAGATCATTAAACAACAGGAAAACATAAATTTAAGTTCAGTCTATCAGCTTTTCATACAGCTCTAGTTATATTTGATGACTGCCATTTATTTACACCAGTCGTTCTCAAAATTACTACCCTTTCGACCCAAGATATTCGTACGACCTTTCCAATTTTGAATTGTCTTCTAGTAAATTTTTCACCGGTATTCTTGCCTGAAATTTCTCTCCCTTTCATCCGTTGATTAATATTCCTCTCTTTGTATTTGAAATATTTCCCGTAGAAGCCATATATCTCCTGTTTGATAATCACGTGTTTACAATTTAATGATTTTCCTTAATGTATTTTGTTTTATTTCTTTATTTGTTATTAAGCATGTTTGGCACCTCAGATAAAGAGATGTATTGAATATGCACAGATCTCAAAACTCTGTACAGTCAATCTAAGACCGGTATCCTCCATCATGGCAAAACTATTAGAAAGGCAATGCGGCATCTTGACTGATTGAGGAAAAACAGACATCGGCTCGAAGTGGGATCAAGTTTCAAATCTAGCAGATGTTAGTGGCGTAATCGCGAATAACATCAACGCCCTGGCCACAGCCTTTGATAAATTTCTTTACTAATTCTTCCCCACATTCCAAGAGACATTTCTCATACACTGGCTTCCCTGTTGTTATACCGGAACATACCTATTCTATTGTTAATAGACTCCCCCACAGATAATAAGTAGTACTAGTAGCAGTCGCCAGGGGGCTCAGAGTGGAGTTGGTGAGTCAGTCGATGTCGGACCTTAAAGTATCAACCATCACAACTAGATTGCTGCGTCATTAACTATTATTTCAAGTTCCTAACGTTTTGTACATCGAACCTCTTTTAGGACCGACTTAGGGAAATACAAGCCTCCACTGTGAGAACTACTCTACAACACCTGTCAATCCAGCCTGAAGACGCCTTCAAGGGGTTAGCACACTTTTCTTACATACAGGCATCTCTCTCATTCCAACCAGAGGATGCCTACTGTAAGAGCTTAACACACTTTTCTCACACACACGTTTCTCTCATTCCAGACTGAGGGGATCTATTCTAAGGGCTAAACACATGTTTCTCACACACAGGCTTCTCTTTTATTTCAGCCTGAGTACGCTTACTCTAAGAGGTTAACACAAGTTTATCACACAGAGGCTTCTCTCTCATACCAGCCTGAGTTTGCCTTCTCTCAAGAATTAACACATTTTTCTCACACACAGGATTCTCTCTCAGTATGAAGAAGCCCACTCGAAGTTTTCCAAACGAGTAGCTGAAAAATTCCTGCTCTCCCAGTCAGATATATATATATATATATATATATATATGTAACAAACTGATTTATTTAAAATGTCTTATCAGTTCCGTGCACTTCTAAAATAAAGAACATTCAGCCATCCTTTGATGTTGTAAAAGTCATTAACTTTTTGCGAAATATTTTTTTTTTATTTCAGCTTTACATTTGGTGGTCATAATGTCTGGAAATGTTTGATTAGCGCTTTTCTGTAAAATATAACAAACTTCTATCCTCGTTTACTATTGTAATTTTCAATACTTCCATTATTATTATTATTATAGCTGTCAGGTTTTTCGGTTCTTCCACTCTCACTATCATCATCATCATCATCCTCATTTTAACCTATTAAGCAGCGAATTTATATTTATTCTCATCGTTGACCTTTTGCATTCTGTATTTTTCATTTCTTAGTTTTTATTTACTCATTGGCCTTCTGTCCCATCACGTTGGAACATTGGTTCTCGTACGATTACCAAAGTTAAGCAACGTTGATCCTGATAATTACCTAGATGGGTGACCGCTGGGGAATACCAGGTGCTGTAAGATTGGATTGGTAGGTGGTGTAATGGATAATGGCTCGGAATTTGAAGTCTGTGAACCGAGTTACAATTCTCGTTCGAAACATGAGCATGGAGGAAGAAAGGCGAATTAAAGGAAAGTACGAAGGCTCTTTAATACCACACAAAGGCAAACCATGAAAAGTATCTATGTCAAATATGACATTGAGAAAATGAGGATTCTACGCTGTGTAGAATGTTTGGAAAAGTATGTGAGGCAGACATGTTGGCGCCACAAAAGTACCAATGGAAATACGACAATATCGCGCTTATTGTACATGAGATGCTATGATGTAAATACAAATTAGAAAGAGTAGAAAGTGGTAGGTGCAAAAAAAACAAAAAAAAAAAACACTGTCAGTAGTGAAAAATTAGCGTGTACATCTACTCCGGGACTTCGTTGTACAATTATAATAATTTAACTGAAAAAAAAATTTCTGAGTTCATTAGTGACCGGAAGGAAGTCAAACAGTGTTGGATTATCGATATTGCACTACCATTGCAAATAAAGATGATAAAAAAAGGGGAGCAGTGGAAATATATCAAGATTTGAACTATGAAAGAGTACGTTTGTAAGGAGCCAAGAAAGCAGTCTCCCTACTGTTGTAGGCGCCCTTGGCAGTCAAAATCTAAAAATGGCTGGCACTGTGGTTCGAATTGAGATGCTTCTGAAAACAGCACTGTTTGGAACACTCAGAATTCTGAGAAAGGATGTGTCGATGTTGAGTGGTGAAGAAATGACAGGTCTCATGATCATTTGTAGTGATAATACCCTCTCCTCTTCGTTAAATTACGGCTTAAGATCCGCTTGAGAAAAAGGCGATAATAATTCTCATCACCTGCATTATTGACGTTGATTTGAACTTAGCGGAAGTATTGGTAGAATTTTCAAGTTTCAAATCGTGTTGTGTTTTTCAGTTGTTATTATAGCCTTTGTTTTCTGATATAATAAAGTAATTTAAAGCCTTTAATTTTCAGGGCTTTCACACACAGACACACACACACACACACAGACACACACACACACACACACACAAACACACACACACACACACACACAAAGGAATATTGGTAATTTATATCGCCAGGATAGTTACCTCCTCAAACCGAGACACTCACAGACAAATCTGAACATATCCAAATACCATTCTACTAATACAATCATGTAATGTGCGTGTAGAGAAATTGTTATCGGTAAACAACCTTCAAATCATGTCCTAGATCAATGGTTCCTAAATGGTGCGACGGGAGAGGCTAGCATGTTCGGCAGAATGATTGAAAGACAATCAAAGTTTTGAAACAGTTTCAAAAACTTCATATGCCAAAAATAAATATGATTTCAAAATTTATAATATTATTATGGATTCCTTGTAATTTCAAGCCTGAGTTCCAGTACAAATAGTTATAATTATTGACCGATTTTACCATAGTGGTATTTTTGCATTATATTAAATATTAAGAATATAGTAACTAGGGTCCACAAGTTGGAGGAGGGAGTTATCAATGATAATGTTCTGCGTTTGAATTTGCAGTTATCTCTCTCTTTCTCTTTCTCTCTCTCTCTCTCTCTCTCTCTCTCTCTCACACACACACACACACACACACACACTGTCTCTCTTTCTCTCTTTCTCTCTCTGGATATTCTTTGTCGTAGGACCGCATGTGGCTTTTCACCAGGTCTTCCCTTTTGGGCGAGCAAATTTTCATTCTGAAAATGCGGCCCAGAGAGAGAAAAAAGGTCTAGGAACCACTGGCCTAGACTGTGACATTCCCTTTCACACGATAGATTCGGGAAAGTTTTGAATCCATGTCTTCCGTTGATCCGGTATGATTTAAATAGCAAAAAACTGCACTTACTAAACTTGGTTGATAGCCTATCTAATAGAATAACTATTATGAATCTCCAAACACGAAGATGGTAACAAGAAACAATAACATTACCTTACTATCTTACCCAACAAGTCAAGCCAGTTGACAGATATTAAAGAAAAGAATATGTGGAGAGCAATGATCACGTACATTCTAAAGGAAGATGGCATTATTATAGAAATAAATATTTCTTTTACCCGTTCATTACGCATCTAGCCTTAATTTTATTTTTTTTAATTTCAGTATTTTCAGTCACGTTAGTTTTTATTATTATTTTCTCCATCATTCTTTTTATGTCCGAAATTATATTTAGATGAATGTTGTCATATCGCTGAAAGAGATTTTAGGCTTTTTTAATGTTCTTTCATTGTCTGCCACATTTCGGTTGGTTTTTTTCTTGAATTTATCAAACGTTATATCGAAGTATGGCAGGAATATGTTTACTGTTTTCATTTCAATTCAAAAGTTGATTTTTTTTAATTATTATTGAATTTTACTCCCATATTCTGTGTGTGGAATTTTCGGCTGTTACAGTCTTTGTCAATTTGCAAAACAGAAATCTTTGTTAAAAAGATTACCTTTAGCTAACAAATGGGAATTCTTTTTTCATTGTTTTCTGATGATACTGGACTTTGAAAGTTTTATTTTTTTGTAAAGATGAACAATAGCCGAGTCTTGGAGGATAATTCAACCGCTTTTCACAACAAAAAATAGGAAAAAAAACTCGAAAATGGCAAACTGTCTGCCAGATCTTCGAGTTATGATTCCTTGTCGCAGATTATCAGAAAGGAAAACAAAATTTTCAAAGTGAGATTAAATAAATAACAAGTAATTAAAATCAGAAAAATACCGTTGAAATTTCTAGGACCTATGGAAATTTCTAGAAACTTGAAAATTTCTAGAACTTGGAAATTTCTAGAAACTTGGAAATTTCTAGAAACTTGGAAATTCTAATTATCGCAAGATATATTGAAGAAAAGAAGACAGAGGGGATCAGTGAGGGGCCTGCGAATGAATTTCTGTCATCAGATTGAAAAACAGAAATTTGATTTGTTTTTCATTTTTTACGGTTTATGAACCCTTTGTCCGTTATTTAAATCCGAAACATATTTCGGATTTTAAGAAGAATTCTGTTTTTTGCGAGTGGATATTGCATTAACAAATTTTGGGAATATCTATAATTTGTGGATATATAGATTCTACTATTTAATCCATAGATGGAGGAAGGCGATATATATATCACTTAAACTAAGGTAATTGCGCCTGAGTGGGTGCAAGGAACACGGTTCTCCGCTCTTTCATCCCGAGCCTCAGTTCATTACATCTGCTGCCCACCCTGCAGAACAGGGAAAGAGGATAAGATTAAAACGACAAATATTACTAAAATCTACAGAAGATAGTAAACTGCGGGAAGCTATACTGGCTCACGCAGATAAAAAAGAAAACTTTTATAAATTGAATATGTTTCCTTATAATATTTACCTGTACAACCAATGAAAACCAAATTTAGAAGTAAATGAATCGAAACAACTCATGACAATTGTGCTTCCAAAAAAATTCTATGGAAGCTAAACAGCGAAACATGTCAAAAGGTTTTTCTATTTGCCCTTTATTTCATCCTTTTGTCGTATTTAATCCATATCTTCAACTCATTTCAAAGTTGATTTAAAAAGAAAACCCCTCTATTTAAACAGGTTTATGAAACAGTCTCCAAAATAAAACTGTCCAGGGTATAACGATAAACTACGTTCGACAGCAAGGCCTTTGATCAGGAGGTTTTCAGGAGCGTGGAATCACCTCTTAATTGCTAGTGTTCCCAAGTCAACTAAGTGACCAGCGGTGGTAGCACCTGTTAGGGTCCCAGCTATGGGCAATTAGTTAACCCACTAAAAGGGGTCAAAATACTATGAAAGTATAAAAATAGTTTTTAGTGCTAGAAATATTTTTGGAAAAAAAAATTACCAGCAATACATTTTCGAAAAAAAATGTATTACTAGCAATGCTTTTTTGAGAAAGAGATATTGCCAGCAATAAAATTTGGGAAAAAAATATTACCAACAATAGATTTTTGAAAAAATATATTAGCAGCAATATTTTGTCAGCATTAAATAACCTATTGAGGTTGATAAGTCGTAAAACAAAACAAACCAAACCCAAATAAGCTTGATGTGTTTCTTTACGATCAAATACTTCAGTTTTTTCTTGATTGAATATTTGTAGCTGATAAAACTTAAGTAGCGATTTCATTTGTTCAATATATAATCATGAACATTTTCTCAATTCTGTTACCTTTCGAAAAACAAATTCGAAGTATATTTGAAGATTCTCGACAAACTCCAAAGAAGAGTCTGTAATTTAATCGATCCTGACTTGGCATCTCGACTTTAGTCATTTTACTACCGCTGTCTTTTCTACCAATATTTTCATGGTAATTGATCTAATGAGCCTTCGTCCTTTAGACTAAAAACGCGTGAAATTAAGCTACTAGACTGGCAAATGGTTTCTATCGTTTTACTATTGATTTAGCTTAGATGTAACCGCAAGTTCTATTATAGCCGGTTCTTTTCTCGCACTTCTCGTCTGTGGAATTCTCATCCGATTTTCGCTTACCTGTCGCTTACCTGTCGCCTATAATTTTCAAACATTTAAGTGAAACGTCAGTCATTATTCTGTCTTCCTGAAACTTGTTCTTTTATTGTCCTTTCTTCGCACTAATGTCTTCTCGTTCTTTTTTTCTCACAGTAATCTCTTGCATGTTAATAACAGGATCACCTTGCTTGGGGTGAAATGATAAACAACAACAACAACAAGAACAATAAGAATAATAACAAGTAACATCAACATACAGGATGCCTAGACGATCGGTCTGCTTGGAACATCCCATATAGTAAGAAAAGTGCTATCAATTAAGTGACAATTCTATTATAGGGGCTAAGGATCATAGTTTCGACCCGGCTCTACAGAATACAAAGCAGGAAACATAACATACACAAATAATAATAATAATAATAATAATAATAATAATAATTTAACGGATACTTTTTTAAATAAAATTACGTTTTACTGAGATATCTCATTGAAAAATCGTTCCCCGTATGATCACGGAAGTTAAGATAA